AAAAAAAAAGGAAAAAAAAGAAGAAGAGAGAAATGCTTACATTACTAACCAATAATCAACTTAGACATATATTTGACAATTTTAATAAAACCACAGTATGTATAATTTTAATAAAGTTCCAATCATCATGCCATTCATAAAAAAAAAAAAAAAAAAAGTAAAGTCAAAAGGATAAATAGGCACACATTTATATCAACAACTAGATAGTTGTAGATAACAAAATTAAACCATATATTTAGAATCTAAACTTAAGCCACATATTCATAAGGATAATGAACTTACTAGAACACAATATACTATAATATTCATTCCAAAAGTGCAACTCTTCACAAGTTCAAAAATCTAGGTACATCCAGCATTAAAAGACTTCATATTTAACAAACTTACCTATTGTATTTGCAAGTTAAAGTGTAGGAACAAGCCTACCAACAAAATACATGAAGTTAACAAAAACCATTCAGATGAAGAATTGCAAACTAGCTCATTATTTTTTTGGAGTGCTTGTTGACTTGCTTACGAAGAGTGATGATGCTTAGAAGAGATATTAGGAGGACTTCTAGCATCTGCTATCGATCATTAAAGATGAAATGTTTCATGAATATGCTAAAAATAATAAAATATACCCAAATTAAAAGAGAAATACAAAGGAAACTACAAACAGCCATAACAAGAGCTATAATTTTAATGAAAATACCACTCGGTAGTTGCCTATGTTCCCTTAAAAGTATGAAGTTGGGTTTAGGAAGGTGTAGCAAAAGTGAGAAAATTTTAAAAATTTTAATCTTATCATATTTCAACTCATTTAGCATCTTTATAAATCCATAAATAGTTAAAAAAGGATTTATAATTAGTACCTCAATTATGTATGTCTTGTATATCTTTAAAAAAGAAGTGTAAAATTGAAATTACCAAAATATTATTAATAAAATAGGATTGAGAAAGGTGTTATTAAAGGTATTTTGGTAATTTGAGCAACATTTCTTATTATAAAAGCCCAATCTATGAAAGACATAAGGGAAAATCCCAGAAGCAAAACCATAGCTTTTATATACATAATTGTTTTCATTTCCACCCAAATCCATTCTAAGGATTACGGGCATTTGTCCCACGTGGTACTTAGTGTGTGAGTTTGGTAGTATATACGAGATTCTATACAACTTCAAATTAATCGGTTTTAGAGTTAGCGTGTGTTCTCCCTATACATTTTATACTTATCAAAAAATCAACGGGGCATTGTCCCACAACGTCCTTATGTGGGTTTGGCCATACTTACTGCTCATCTAGCAGCACCGCCACATTCCGACCTCTCTTCTCCGCCGATCATTGAGCCAAGGTGCGTCTCTGCTCAGACCGCCGCCACCCTCGGCGGTTCTTTGATCATCATCGACGAACGCACTGGGAAGAAGTACCAGGTCCCCGACTCCCGCAGAAGGCACCGTTAAAGCGGTTGATTTGAAGAAAGTCTGTGTTTTTACCCTTATGATTTCTCTGATTTGAATTTATATATGCTAATTCTGGGTTGAATTTTTGTTTTTACAGATAACGACCCGGAAAGATGTATGACCCTGGCTATTTGAACACAGCTCCTGTACGCTTATCAATTTCCTACATTGACGGGATCAGGGGATCCTTCGATACAGAGGCTACCCAATCGAGGAGTTGGCCGAGAGGAGTACCTTCTTAGAAGTGCCCTACCTCCTCAGTAAGTAGTCCAGTGCCAAAAGGGAACACAACATGTTAGAGTTGATGTGATGAGCTATCTTCCTACGAATTCTATTTCCCAAATCGAGTCTCTCATTATTTGCTTATTTTTATTTATTATGGGTACTGGGTAGAAAGTGAAAGTCTTGACCGTCATTTTTGTATTCTTCAAAGAAGTTTCTGTGTAAATGTGTAATCATCTTACATTTACTTGAACATCCTATTTCTGCAATTTAATGTGTAGTTTTCCCTTTTCTTAGTGTATGGAAATTTGCCTTCTAAATGTCAGTTAGCTGATTGGGAATTTTCTGTTTCTCAGCATTCAGCTGTACCACGAGAGATATTGGTATGCTTTTCTTTCCTTATCATACTACTTGAAATGTGATAATTAATATGTCTCCTCATCATACACTTCTTTGGATTAAATACTTTCACAATAGTTCTAAGTTTATGAGTTAACTGAGGCCTTGTCAAGGAAATGATATATAACTGTGTTTCTTTCTTTTTCTTTCCCAACATCAATGGGTATCTGCTCTCCTACTGGTTGAATAGAAGTTCTGAGCTGTGGTTTCTGGTTATCCCTGTTTTTATAGGATATAATACAGTCAATGCCTCATGACGCACACCCAATGGGTGTACTTGTCAGTGCAATGAGCGCCCTTTCCATCTTTCATCCAGATGCAAATCCTGCTTTTAAGGTAAGTCATTGGTTTAATTTTGATAATGATTCATAAAACCTCTGAAAATTGAAATATACCATGTCACAGATTATAGTCTGAAAGTCTGCATTCTATGAGATGATCTTTTATTCTGGGTTTGGTGCCATGAGATTTCTATTCAATTGAATTTTTCAATGCAATATGAGCAATTGATTTGGTATTCCCAATGGAAAATGTAGTTTTAGCCAACTCTTGAAACATGTTCAGGTTTTTAGGTTGACCAGTTATAGATTTTCTGGAAAAAGGTTTAGACTTTCTGAGTTACTCCATCACAACCGTTAGTGGTTTATTTGGGGATAATCATTGAAACACTTTTGGTTGGAAGAGTGCTATAGAATAAAACATGGACCAACAATAATTGTATGATGGCCATTTCATGTTTAATTGGAAGAATACTTAAGTTACCAGCTAGATGCGGCACAGAAAGCGGCACTTCTAAGTGACTGACTTATTTTGTGTCATCAATCTTGTTATAGAACTTATAAAAATTTATACTCGTTCTTCTGCTTTAGAAGTTTTTTCTTGATTCAATCATATTTTTTTTTACAACTGTAGGGCCAAGATATCTACGGGTCGAAACAAGTAATAGACAAACAAATAGCACGTATTCTTGGAAAGGTTTGTATTTTCAGTTTTGATCCTATCCAATATTTTTAAATGGACAACTCTTGCAGCTTTGTGTTTTCTGAGGGGCAAAAGGTGCAGATCACCCCCTCAACTCAACAACTGGTGGCAAATCACCCCCTTAACTCACTTCACGCGCAAATCACCCCCTCAACTCCCCTGCGGTGGCAAATCAGCCCCTCTGTTAAGGCTTCCGTTAACATTTAACAGTTTGCTCATAAGCCCTTCCTCTGTGTCTGACGTGGCCTTTTTGTTGTTGAGATGGATGCTGAGGTGGAGGCACATCTGGACAAACACCTCAAAATCAGCAGATCAAACAAAATTACTTTTATACCCTTAAATGGTTTAGGAAAATAAAATTGGGGATTTAGGGATTTGGGGTAATATTATTTCACTTTACAGTTTCTATCGTCTTCGTCTTCTTCCCCTCTTCGTCCTTTTAAGATCTGCAATTCATCGAGAATGGGGTTCTTTGTCAAGCTGTGAATCTTCTGTGAAATTACCATATTTTAAGGTAACTTCAATTCAACTAAAAAGGAGAGAGAGATCAACAGAATGAAGGAGCAACATTGCTAGCAGCTATTAAGGATTGAAACCCAAAAGAGTTTTA